CAACAAAACCACGCTTTCATTTAGTCGTTCTTTTGTAACCAGTTTTTACTGGAGCAAATTATTGTAATAATAAATAGATTATGGACTTTTTTCCAGCCCCTGCAGAAATATTTCAGATACTAGTGGAGGTACATCCCAGGTTTATTTGGCAAACTATTTAGCACAGCACACCAATTAACTTACTATGCCTCTGAAATTAACCTAACCACTCCAAGTAGGTGACTTAAATAACTATTTGCTAGGGTCAACATATGAATAGCTTCATATTAGCAACAGCTTCCTTGTTAAATTACATTTGTAGTCAGGGCATTCTGCAGGGCATATCCAGCCTCTGGGTTAGAGCTATGTTTTCTGACTCTTCACAACTTTTGAGAAGGGAAGTCTGACCTGGCATACTGAATCTTGCAATAATATTGGTCACTGATCTCAATCTCATCTTTGCCCAGCTAAATCACAAGAGATCTTTTCAAGAGCAGAAGGAACACAACATTAAAAAGATACTCAGTCAGGGATCAATTTAATGGGAATTTTACAACTGCCTGCAGTACAGAAACTTTGAAAAAATCCTGAAATATTTGCAAATCAATTAAAAAAAAAAAGAAGTTTCTCCTGGAAATGTACACCTCTCAAACTACAATGAAAGAGATTTCCAAATCGTTGTAAACTTACTGCGAACTGTGTGAATGCTGAGAGATTAATTTACATACTAATGCTGCAGCGGGTTGGGGGGGTGTGGGGGGAGAAGAGTTACTTAGCACCAGTAATGAGCAGAAAGGAAAAGGAGGCAGCTACAGTCCCCATTGACTGTTTTGTTTTCAATAATTTTAGACTGTCTAATAACGCCTTTTAACAAGCTGCTCTCAGCTATAAAGCTGCAATCAGCCACTGTCAGAGAACATAATGCTGCCCCAGACAGGAAAATAGTTCTGATGTAACCGACAAAAGACCCCATCTCCTTAAAAAAAAGAAAGCAGAAAAAAGTTCCACCAGCGAAAGACATAAATTAGACTGTCTATACAGTGTATCCTTTCCTTTTCATTTCTAAAATACTAGATTTCAAAAGGATATCTATTAAAGCAAAATACATCCTAACAAGCACATTTTCTGGTTTACTCTACTCCAGTCCTAGTTTACAATTAGACGAACGAGCTTATTTATAGGATATTTACGCCATATAAATGCAATCTAAATTAGGACTGATCATGTTAATTTTCTGTTTCCAGTCTACACTACCCACTTAGTCTCTTAAGTGACTATTATGCGACACTGAGATTAACATTACAACAGGCTACCCAAATTTAAGACTACTCCCACTCGCTCAATTTAATAGCACTTCTCACCGAAGCTCAAGCCTAGCTATAAACGCCTAAGATAGTCATATGATAGGTAAAACACGGGTGTTCTGCTCCATTAAACATAGGATTCCTCAAAACAGTGCTCACCTTCACTGCTGACGAATGGAGGTCCAATGCCACTGCTGCCAAAACCAGCTATGCACCATAAACTGGAACCGAATGTAGCCAACGTTCAGATCTAAAAGTTGGTTTATAAACCATCACTAATTCTAAAAGAACTCAGTATCATCCTTTTAGCACACGTATTTCTTCATTTTTGTAATTCAAAGCACTAACAAGATGGAAACAAGATCACTTTTTTCCCCTAGGAATTCTTCTGATCTTTCCAGTATTATCACAGTCTCATTTTCTCTCCAGCAACAGACTTCAGTGATGGCAGTTACCACATTTTACAGATCAGTACAGAAACACGCCTAACAGTTAAACAAGACACGTTGTCAAATCACTAAAATCAGCCCACAATCTGTTTGTCCTGAAGATACACCTATAACCTCAGCAATATAGGCTGAGATCTCTGTTTAACCTCTTTTTAATGTCATTTGCTGGAGAGTTAGCACAAGCCACTGTGGTATTTGGTTTTTGTACTTTGCTCTCATTTAAGGAAAAATAAATTTATCACGTAGAAAAAACAGGTAATTTGTGGAGTTTAAGCAGCAAAATCGTAGCTTTCCTCTCTTGATACATTCTGCCCCACCTTATGGGAAGGGGAACTGACTGTATCTGTGACTGGCAAGTCACACTTTCTCTGAGGGGTGCCAGAGAATAATAGCACGTCAACACACTCACAGCCAAATGTTCCTTTTGCCAATGAGATTTCATAACGCTTCCTCCACTTCTGAAACTCTCCAAAGAAAGGAAGTGCCAACTCCCTGTTAAAATATATAGTCCAAGGGACCCAAAACTGTCTAATGTTTGAACTTTTTGCACAGAAATAGAGGGAAATTACTTTTTTTTTTTGCATTAAGTTAATATTTTTTTTCCCCAGCTACAAGCTGTACAGTTTTCTCTAGCTCATGATAAAGTAAGAAGGGGAACAGGTACGAAATTCACTTAAGAAATGACTTTTTTTCTTTTGGTTGCCAATATCATTAGAATAATACAGGCCTCCAATCAGCTGAGACAAAATGCTAACTGAATTGAAGTGTGAAGCAGCCAGTACTTTAAGAACAAGATCTCTAATATTGATTTTATATAAAACAGTTTATCAGGAAGTTAAACACACATCTAGAGTCCCAAATATTTTCTCCACACTCAGAGCTAAAAATTCAATGAGATTCTAAACCCTCCTACACCCTGAGATTATTCAAGATTATAACTCCCCTGGGGTGGCACAGACCCTCCCCTCTCCACAGCACCACCATCTGATAAATAGACTGAGCAATACTTGCACTGATCATGTAATGAGAGCCTTTCCTCCCTTTTTAAGCTTGTTTCCACTTGCAAGCTATTTCATGCTATCTCAGGAACACTGGTAAATAACGATGGCATGTAGTTATACACCCAGAGCTAAAGTAAGAGGTCACAGAAAGGGCTTCTCGTTGCCATTTCCTAGCAATTCCCTGTCATTCCAATACACAAGGTTAAATTACTCCAGAAGCCTCCCTACAGGGCTTCCATTGTTTGTCAGTCAAGGCTTGGACACAATGACGCTCATTCATGCACAGCAAACAAGAAGCTAAGGGCCAGCGATCAGCATACAGTCTCATTTTGGGTCTTCTGCAAACAGTTTGTAGAAAGATGGCATTTCAAATAAACTATGTCAATTTTTCAAAGCTTCAATGCATTTCCAGTACAAACTACTTAGTGCAGACAAAAATTAAGACAACTTGAGAGCAACGTGAAGAATCACCCAAAAAACCACTCACTCATTAGGACTGGTCCTGAAAAAGATCTGCTTGCTACAACCACATGCAAAAAGACAACGTTTTAATAGTCAAGAGAAATACACATTCAGAAAAGTTCAAAATAGTTGACTCTTTCCGAAGACAGTCATACCACGCTTTTGTTTTCAGTGTACCACTTAGTATTCAGCCTCAGAGCTTATATTACTGAGGGGTACAACAGACACCAAGGTTCCAAAGTGCACTTAAGGCTGTTTACTTCGTATCTTCTGGTTAAGAACCCAAGAGGTTTAGGGTTTTGGGTTTGTTTTCCTTTGCTTTTTTTCAACATGTTAAAAATAGAAAAAACAAATGCAATACGACAGAAGTCCAATGCTGCTAACCGGAGAGACACAAGCCTCACGCACCTCTTCATTGCTTTGCCTTTTCTACTTCAAAACTTGCTAGAGCAAAGACTTTGTCTCCTGATCCTACGAGAGGAGAAAACATTTTCAGTAAGTATTAGTAGAAATTGTGAATTTCCTTACACACAATTTAAATCAAGCAAAACATTTGATATCAAAGGAAATCAAACCCACATTTTGAAAACTAGAGCTAATTTAAAAAAAAAAAAAAAAAAAAAAAAGGAGACATACTGGCTTGACAGGTCTGAAACCGGCCATGTTGTACTGGGTCTGGCTGAGATGGAGTTAACTTTCCCCCTGGCAGCTCTCACAGTGCTGAGCTTTGCATCTGTAGCTAGCAGGGTTTTGGCTACCGCTGAGCAGTGCTGGCACAGCAGTGAGGCGCTCTCTCACCCCAAAGGCCAGTAGGTTTGGGGTGGGCAAGAGGTTGGGAGGGGACACAGCCAGGACAGCTGACCCACACTGATCAGAGGAGTAGTCCATAACATTCGACACCACGGTCAGCAATAAAAGCTAGGAGAAAGGAGGAGGTGGGGGATTTGTTATTAAGGCATTTGTCTTCCAAAGGAACTGCTACATGTACCAAGGCCCTACTTCCCAGAACGTGGCTGGACATCGCCTCCTGACTGGAAGTAGAGAGTAAATCTTTTTGTTTTCCTTTGCTTCTGCGCACAGCCTTTGCTTTTCTTCATTAAACTGCCTTTATTTTGACCATGAGTTTTTAATTTTATTTTCTCCCCCTGTCCTGCTGAGGAGGGGGAAATGAGAGAGTAGCTTTGAACAAAAGAATTCTCACCTTGCTTCCACTCTCAGGAAGAGGAGTACTGAAAGGCAGGTCACAGAAACTGTTTATTTGACCTAGTCTGGCACGTTCCTGCCACTCATAGTTCTTTCATCACAGTTCTACCTGTAAGGCTAGAATGAACTGTTGTGCTTATTCAATGCATATTATAACTATTATAACTGGACTTCTCGTCAATATGATTAGAATTACACCAATCATGGCAAGAACAGTGCTTTAAAGCTGTACTTTGACAATGTGCCAGTAATTGCCAAATACTCTGCATCAAGCAGAGCAAAAGGCTCTCCTGAAGAGTCATTAGTGCAAAAAGATCTGTGTTTAACTGTAAGAGCAGTATCTCTGCTTGAGATAGATCAAACTTACAGCATTATGGGCAACACTTGGCATTTTACGGACATTTGGCACTGGATTTATTTGCTGCGTTACTTTTTCCTCATGGATAGTGTATCAGAGTTTCATCGTTAATGAAACAGAAAAACGTACATAAAAATTTCATGGCATGAATCTTCTGTTCGTATTTTCTCTTTCATAGGGGAATCACAGGTATTTCTATTAATCAGTGCTCAATGAGGCAAAGAAACTGGAAGTTATGAGAACGAAAACTTACCAAGGTCAGTGGAGACTCTCTCAAACTGGCTCAGGGCTGCACCAGCATTTGCTGACAAGAACGTCTCATCATCTGGAGTCAACTAAATCAGGAAAGGCCACAGCTGTGAACTTGGTACCCTAACCGGGCATATTCCCATCATTGTAATTCCCACCACCTACATGAACTACGACAGGTTACAGCAATTGTCGATTTGCAGTTTCTAAGTGGCAGTGTAATCTAACACATTAAAAGCCAAACTAAACCCACAAGCTACTCCCCCTACCACTGGATTTTTTCTCAGTGGTGCCCGTCAGCCCAGGGAGGACGACAGCACATGCAACATCCTCTACGTGCCCCACTAAGTTTCAAACTGACCTCCAGTGATAATTTTCGATGAAAAGGTCACACTGTACCTCTGTACCAAAAACTATGCAAAGTTAATTTAAAATTTTAAAATTACTTTTTTTTGCCATGTGGCCAATCCAGTAATGAGCTGAGATCTAAGCTTGCTTCATGTCATCTACTGAGGAGAGTGAAAATACAGCCACTACCAGCTTTGACCATGTTAAGAGTCAATGACCTAGAAATGGTCCTCTTCCTTTAAAGTAACGTTTGCACATGTATATTTTGCTTTTATGCATGTGCTCTGATGCCTTGTGACAGATGCCCATAAAATATTTACAATAATGAAGTAGTAACCTACATTTGGAAGGTTCAGCTAGTCTAAGTTAAAACTCACTCATTTAAGTAGCCTCAGATATACACCCTTATTAAAGCAAAGCGTAAGTGTGTCAAACTGTCCACAGTGCTTGTATCAGTTTATTTATTAAAAATATAAAAATCAGGTATAGGCCTTCAGAACGATGATGGAACAAAGGAAAGAATTAGTTACCTGCCTTTGCTGTGCTTTGTAAGCAAGCATCCAACTACTTAACATTTTGCAGTATTGTGCAGACAAACATGTAACATTTACCATCGCTTTTCACATCCAGAACAGATGTGAAACTACTATCCTAGCAAGTCCTCTGTGAAGTACATTTTAAAAGATGAAGAGGTTATGTCAAAGTGTGGTGAAGTGGCTTGTCTGAAGTGATCCAAGGAACTCATGCCAGGAGGATTAGATATCGTCATGCACTCTGTCCACAATCTTAACTTGCCTTTTAACCTATTTCCAAAACATTTTTTTTTCCTGACAGTCAAGCAATAAAAATATTCTGAGGGAAAGCATTTGCTAATATCATCTACTTGGAATGCAGCTCCTTTAAGAACTGCACTTGATCTTCTCCATTGCATTCCCTCATTTCCTAAGAAAGTTTAAGTACAGAGACACACAGCAACCCAGTTTCTTCATACACCATCGTAAAAAAGAAATAACAACTTCTCTTCCTCCCTCTGGTGGTAAAAAACCGGGATTGTTCTGCCCCTGATGCAGTCATTGGGGAAACGGTTTACCACTCCTCTCTTCAACTCACTTATCTCACACCAAGACGCAGGTATTCGCACCAGTACAAAAGTAAAGCTCAATGTACGTCAAAAGTCTTGGATAGGTCCTGCCAGGTGAACAGGTGGTGGTGAGCCAGTAAAAGACGTGTTTTGTAGCTTTTATAAATACCGTCAGCTTGTACCAGCTTGTTCGTTATTCATTCATATGACCCACCAAAGAAAGCATTTTCAAGAAGAAACAGCCTTATATAAATGTACAACACTATTTGATACATGTTCAGTAGTGAGTGCTTCAGAAAGCTCAGCAGTAACATGGAAGGACATTCAAGTACTACAAAAGCAAGCTGCATTTTGTCATTTGCTCACATAAAAAAGTTGTAACCTCTTATTTTAATGATTTCAAATGTCCTCTTCAATATATAGATAGAAATCTCTATTCACCTAACTATCATACCAACACCTTACCTTCTCACCCAGCTTTCTGAGGGCAGTCAGGATTTCTACCTTCTGCTGTGTGTACAGGTCTCGTCCCAACTTCCCAACCATTAAGTCTCGATCCATCTGTATACCAGGGGTGGGGGGATAAGTCAATATATATAAGCTTCCCACTAGTTTCACTCAATACAACAGCAAGAGAAACGCAACAGCCTAAAAATATCACCAGTAAGAATGGTACCCACGGAAGTAAGTGACAGAGGCACTCGTCATTTAAAAGATGGCTGTGAAGATTTTCTGAACGTTCTGCAAATACTCTTTGCACCCAACCTTAGCATTCTTGATTTCTCCAAACTTGAATCTCTTTCAATCAAAGGCTGCTATTCATTCAAAATTATGGATTCACATATCGCTGATACATGGAGAATCACATTTGATTTCACTTCATCTGGTTCTCAAGTTCAGTCTAGATCTCTGAAACACCGAGCGCACTCTCAAGCCCCTCCACCAATACAGGTTCACATTCTTCAGATTTTCTATTTGCAGTTATACTCAGTTCACCATCTGTTAATCACAGTTTTGTCTTGAAGTAGCAAGATAGAGGACAATTCAAGAAATACACATTGTGGTCCCCATTGCCTCAAGAAACATTTAAAAGTGAACAAATTCTGAAAGAGAACTCCTCTATCTCCTCATGATGCTGCCACCAAGTTTCTAACACGCTTGGTGCTCTCCTTGCAATCATTACGATTTAAATCAGTCTAGCTTAAACAAACAGTTTTTGAAGTAAAACAGAAACCCTCACCTCTGCCAACCTTGTCCTCAATTGCCTTGGTTGTTTCTTTGCAAACATCCTAATTACTTCTGGAGTTTTAAATGCTTGGCTGATGGCTGCTTGTATTGCCTACAAGGAAAAGAGCAAGAATGACCAGAACTAATAGTAGATTAATGAAGGCTGGAAAGCATCATTAGTACCCTTTGCATCATTTGATACAGAGAGCTTTTCTTTTTTTTTTTGCATAACCATGGAAGTAAGATGAAAAAAATACATGACCTTTGTGCAGGTCTTGAAAAATCCACCAATTAGTGCAACTACACAGACAAAGAGCTGTGAAACTTTCCATTACAGTTCAGGTCTTAATTTCTAACCTTTTCGAACATCTTCCTGATATTAGCACATCACAAGTGCATGTGCTATGCTATCTTCAGCAGTTTTAATGCCCACACCAATGATTACATCTCTTCTAAGGGCAAGCAGAACGTAACTGATGAGGCAAATCTCCTACTGTTATTCAAAATCCTCTACGAAGCATCAAAACGATCACGAGTAAATCTCACCACAGTTATGTTTGGACAAATCGTGATCTCTCTGTAAACAAAACCCTGAAACATTTGGCTCGGAAGGAACAAAACATGCTCTAATTGAAGATTTGAAAAGAGAGAAAATAGATCAAAAGTTTTGAAGTCAGCATAAAACAAGATCGATTCACTACAAGAACTGAAAGTTACACAGTCATTCCTACAGCTTTTTCATTTGGGCTGGTATGAATCTGAAAGAGAAATCAGCAATGACAGCGCAGGAAATGCCATCTTTATGCTTTCTAACAAACAGGCATGAACTTTATTTCTCAGGAGACATATTGTCCTGGCTTGACATGTTGGTCCTCACACCTTCTACATCAATTTGTATTATTTTATGTTATTTTCTAATATTAAGGATCCGATATATTTAGTCCCTGCAATTCCCCACAGTTTTTTCTACAGTGTTATGGTTCTAATTCTTCAATTTTTTTTTCCTTTTAAAATGAAGAGACCTAACGAAGTTTTTCTATGTACATATATATTAAATAATAAAAACATTAGATACATAACTTTCACACGTGCCTGTCTAAAAATTATAATGAACCACTTGTACCTATTTTCTGTCTCACTGGGTTCAGGCAGAATATGAACTATTTTTAGTAACACATCATCCTTACCAGTTGCATCCCACTGAGCTCATCCACCAAAGTCATATCTCCAGACATAATCTTCTTCAGGGAGTCATTGATCTCACTCAGCTGCTCTAGAGTTTCTTTTTTGGTCTCTTCATACTCGTCTGCATCCAGCTCCTCTCTAAAGAGGATCCAACAAGACACATTAATTCATAGGATTAAACCCAAAACGTAACATGGACAAAAGGACATCAGGGAATATCATGAAGCGCGATTCCTCAGCAATGAAAACATTCACATCACTGCCGATTATTCTGCTGTAGCCCTCTTAGCTGCTATTTAACTAACACATACGTAGTTTTCTTGGCTTTGCACCACCTCCTGGCCACCCATGCTCTTACCTTGTTTGTATCAAGCCACTTGTATTAAAAGGCCCTGACAACTATGAGATACTCAACACCTGGTGCTGCATTCAAAAGTGCAAGATTGTCTTGCTCGAAGCTATGGTGAATGAAATTAGCTGAGAAGCCTATCTCCTCACCCCAAACCCACCAAGTTATTCAGGAATAACTGATCCTGCAGTCTATACCTTGCCCAATTCAAAGAATGGCACTGCCAACCCTTAGCATTATAGCTGTTCTTGAAGAGAAAAGTATACTGCTTGGGCAAGTTAGAATCATAGTCAGAGAAAGCATCTAAAACGGCACAGGATGTTTAAGTGCAAGTACTGAAACAGAAAGAAACCTCTTTTCTTGGTAATTCGGTTTATCTCAAATTTTATTAGCCCACAGAAAAGTAACACAAAATCACATGAAACAAACCACATGAAAATGTTAAGACAAACAAAAAAAATCCCCAAAACAAGCCCAAACCCAAACATCTGTAATTATAAAACAAAATAGACACAAAAGCTATTTGCAAACTGCTATTAAAAAAGTCTGCAAGAAAATTGTGAATTCTGCGAACAGATACTAGAAGTTAAAGTCGCACTGAAATACAAAATTTCAGTGAAGAGTATTTCTGCCCGCATTTTCCTCAAGACAACAAACAGAATGATTGTCATAAGAAGAAATGTTTTTAAAAATAATTTTTACTACCTAATCACAAACATTCTATCTAATTTAAAAAAATATAAAGCCACAGCAAAACACAAAATAAAAGAAAAACCCACAGCACTTTTGAAAAGTACCACTTTTTTTCTGCCAGCCACTTCAGAAAAATATTACTATATAAGAGGAAAGCATCTATTTTTATTACCTGCATTCCTCCAGGTCTTGAAGCTGCTGCATTAATCTATCCAACTGCTCTTCTAAGTTTTGTTTTAGTTTACAGGTCTCCGTTGCTCCTCTTGAAGCCATTTTCTGTTTTTACATGAAAATTTTAAGCTGTTACATGACAGTCCTAGGAGAAAGAACATTTTATTGTTGTGTATCAACGACTTAGAACTGATTTTAAAACTCTCCAAGTATCAAGAAAATTATGCAATATCTTGATGATGGAACATGTGATAAAGACACGTGGAGATCTTGCAGCAGAAATATAGGAATGTCACACTGGGTCTACAGGATTGCTACCTTTGTAGCACGAGGCACTTCACCACGGCAATAACTCAAACAGCCACAGCACATAAAACCAAACAAGTTCCAAAGCAAGTAGCTATAACTGAAACACGGCGGCCCCGCTATATAAACTGCAGCCCCTGCTCTCCAGCGGCCCTTCGGGAAACTATTTAAGGGACCCGGATGCAGGTGCCTGGAGCATGCAAACCCCTTAGACTGAGGAGTCTGGGGAAAACGAGAGCAGAGAACATCCGTGCTGCTTTGGGGATCAACCAGGAGCAGCCAGGCAGCCCAC